CACAATAAGAAAACTGCTCTAAACACCTACTTGTCCTCCTCACTGCCTTTCATAAGTACCCAAGGTTGCTGAGATTGCATATATTGGTTACCACGTCTCGACATTGCCAACACTGTACGAACAGCATCTTTCTGGCGAACAAAATCCATATGGTGATCCCACTCAACGGAATCTTCCTGTAACATTTTAAGTGATACAAGGGCAGATATTAACTGTAACAGAAGATAAACAGCATACCTGAATTCCCGCTAGCAATTCCACATCGACGTCTTTGAGCTGCATTTCGGGTACAACGCCTCCAAAATTATTGCTAAGGAATGAAAGTGCACGATTGATGAAGTTACCCAAATTTGCTAGGAGTTCGGAGTTTACCTAAATTAATGTGACGTAATCTTCCAAAGAAACGAATATATGCAGAGAGATCTCCATTGTAAGATATTTTTCAATTCCCCACTTTCAAGGCAAAATCGTCCCAACTGAACGTGGTGTCTTGTGATTCTGGCCTCATATAGAGCAGATAAAACCTCCACACATCTGCATCAATACCAGTCTCTTTCGCACTGTCACCAAATACACCGGTATTTCTAGACTTGCTGTAAAGATAGCAACCCAGGCTGATATTTAGAAAACTTAATCGATTTAGAACTTAACCTGAATTTGGAATCTTCGTAGTTTAGATACTCTGTGGCGCATACGTGATTGACTATAGTGTAGTTATCACGAGCTCCAAGTTGGGTACATGGGAACATTACACCGTGAAAAGCCACGTTATCCTAAAGTAAAGCTGAGCAGCAGGCAGTAGAGCAAAACCGGGCAGATAAACCATTACTTTTCCTAAGAAATTAAATAATTCCACTTCTTCTGGATTTTTCCACCATTTCGTCCAGTTATCTCCTACTAAACACTTCGTGATAGACAAGTATCCAATAGGAGCATCATACCACACATAGAAAACCTGAGCAGTTACGTCTTGGTCAATATAGTGACCTATGGAAATTCAAAATTCGATGTTAATTTACCTTGTCTTCGTAGCCAGCTAATGGAACGGCAGTTCCCCACTTCAAATCGCGAGTTATACATCGCTTCTCAAGGCCTCCCTCAAAAACAAACAATTGCAAGAACAGGGAATAAGATGTTTAGAAAAAATTGAAGTTTCGAAATTCAGGAGCACATTCTATGCTTAATAAATATGGAAAAAAAA